GGTTGCTGCAGGTCTAGCGGATTGCTCTGTGCTGGGCGTGGAGACGGGCAGGTTGCTGCAGGTCTAGCGGATTGCTCTGTGCTGGGCGTGGAGACTGGTGGGTTGGCTCCCGCCTCCTGGTTTTGAGCAGTCGGAGTTTTGGTCTCTGTAGAATGTTTTCTTTGCTTCTAAGATTTGTGAAATGTCTGGGTGGGTATGCGTTTTTTAGGTTTTCTGTCTTATATGTTATATGTGGTTGACGTGGTCCATTAGCAAACTAGTTGAGAAGCCAGGTTTTCCCCACCACCCAGGCCTTGATAATTGTGGAACTTCAGGCCAGTCATGTGTGTCCGTTGCCTCCTTGTTCTTTGGTTTGAAAAGGAATGGGGTTCATGCCTAGATGTTTACCTTCTGCGAAATCCTGTTGTCCGTGGAGGGCGAGTGGGGTGGACAGAGTGTGGAATCAGCAGTGGGTGGGTGCTGGGCTGGGCACCGAGACGGTGGGATTGTGGACGCCAGACCAGCAGCCCTGGTGATGTGGCGATGCAGAGCAGCTCACGGAAGGAGACGAGCTGACACTGGGGAGCATCTGGGGCGTGTGGGCCCCGAGCCAGCGACGGAGCGGGCAGGAGGGACCTGGGCTTCCAGAGGAGAGACCGGGAGAGCTGAAGGGAGCGTGAGAAGGTGACGGCATGTCTCGGTTTCCCCCATTGAGATGGTGTCTTGTCCTGGCAGAATCAACGGTAGCACCGCCTGACTCGAGCAGTGTCTTGTTTGGACAGTAGAATATGCGGTGGCCCTGATTATAGTCTGTTGTCCAGCCCCTCGCCTTCCCTGGGTGAGCAGGGAGACCCCAGAGGGTGGAGGGAGGCTGGTTACAGCGGGACCAGACCCTGACCCTCCTGAACTGGTTCTGTCTGGTAACAGATGTTCTTCTTCTTACGAGAAGCCGCCAGCCGGTGTCCTCCCTGCCTCCCGTCTTGGCCTTCTGGTGGGTCTGGAAGGGAACCCCCAGGAATTAAATGTGCTCTTAAATGTGAGAAATGGCTAAAATGTGCTTTTTTTTTTTTAAAGTCCATCGACTCTGAAAAGGAAGAAGTTTGTGGAAACTCAGATGTCAGTTCAGGGCATCATATGGTTTGAAATAGTTTATAAGGAAATGTGGAATAGATAGCGCACAGCCCCAAGAACTGTTTCCATGGAAAACTTGCACCCTTGCTCCTCCGCTTGTCTGCCGCCCCCTGGGATGCCATCTGCAGCACCTCACCAGGTCTCCCTCTGCAGGAAACCGCTCGCGCGCCGTGTGTCCCCCCAGGGAGTTGTGCGCGCCCGCCGTGGCCCTCCCGCTGCCGCATTGTCCCCTGTGTCCCGCCCGCTGCCCCGGGCTCTGCTCCTCCTGACCCGGCCGCCGGTCTCTCCTGCCCTGCACAGCTGGCCTTCCCGAGAGAGGCCCCCCCCGCTCCGTGAGCTGCGTGGGTTTACTGGGCACCGGCGTCCCCTCGGTGTTCCGGGCGCGGGGATGTCCCCGTGAGCAGGGTGGAGACCCGGTCCCTACCCCTCGGGGCTTCCGTCCACACGCAGAGCTCCGCCTGCGTGCGTCCTGCCCTTGGGGGCGGCCTGGGGTGGCAGTGAACTCGTCCCCTGGCCAGTGGCCTGCAGGGAGCGGGACGCGGGGGAAGCATCTCTCCTCGGCAGGTGCCGCGGAGACAGGAGGCCCCGGCGTGTGATGGGAGGGGAAGTTGGGAGCTGGGGCGGCGGCGTGCGCCCGTGGTTAGACGTGCAGGAGGAGGACTCTGAGGTGGCATTTGCACCGAGCCCTGTGACCAGGCAGAGGCGGCCCGTGGGGACAGGCAGGGCCGCGTGCTGAGGCACAGCAGCGCAGCCCTCCTCAGGGACGAGGTGGGTGTGGGCAGACGTGGCTTGAACAGAGGCGGCGGCGAGACCAGCGTGCACCAGGGAGGGAGCGGGCCGGGTCTCCAGACCCAGCTGCGGCGGCGTGTCCGCGGCGTCGGTCCCCCGCCGTCCCGGCCTGGTGTGGGGAAGCAGACGGAGCCTCGCGGCAGGCGGCGTCCCTGCGGCGTGGAAGCCGGGACTGCTTCACGGGAGCGCGTTGGCTGTGTGTCCGGGAACACTTGTCCACGGGGCGGGGGCCGGTTCTCCTGCGCAGGTGTCCTGAGAGGCGGTGACGGAGAGCCTCGTGAGCCGTGGGGGTGCCCGGGAGACTGCAGCGGGGCAGAGGTTCCAGCGGGGGAGCAGTTGGGGTCCCGTTGCCGTGGGCCGGGGCGTCCTGGGACGCTGGGACCGGGTGCGCGGGCGCAGAGAGGGACGGTGCGCTCAGGGGGCGGAGACGCAGGGCCGCTTCCGGACGGGAGGGGCG